TTTATGCCCCGCCATGAATATGGCCGAGGCATAAAGCGTTTGTCATGTCCGTCTTCCGTACTTCCATCCTTCCGTCTATCCTTCTGTTGCGCTTTGCTTTTAGCTCAATCCAAAGCTCAGTTTCAAAGAAATTATCCAATATATTTTTATCAAACTTCATATGATGATAGATATCAATTAGAGCTATGTAACTGTGTCAACATTTTTTTTACCTTGACCTTTCCTTTGACCTTGTCCTCCCTTTTCTTAAATTAGTGTCTAGATCAGTTTTGAATAAACAATTCAAGATAGTGTAATCAAACTTCATATGTCGATGCATACTGATGTAAGCTATTCAACAGCATCAACATTTTTGACCTTGACTTTTCCTTTGACTTTGAAATAGTATTTAGCTTAGTTTTGATGAAATCATTCAAGTTACTGAAATCAAACTTCATATGCTGATACATACTGATGTAAGCTTTTCAACTGCATCAACTTTTTTGACCTTGATCTTTCCTTTGACCTTGATCTCAATTTTCTTTAATTCAAGATATATTCATCAAATTCATATGCTGATACATACTGCTGAGAGCTATCAATTGCATCAACTTTTTTGACATTGACTTTTTCTTTGACCTTGAACTCACTTTTTTAAATTAGTGTTTATCTAAGTTTTAAATAAACCATTTATGATATTTTTATCAAACTTCATATGCTAATAGTAAACACATACTGATGTAGGTTTTTCCACTGCATCAACATTTTGATCTCAACCTTTCCTTTGAGCTTGACCTCTCTTTTCTTATATAGGTGTTAAGCTCAGTTTTAAAAAAAATCATTCAAGATATTCTTATCAAACCTAATAAGCTGATATGTATAAGTGAGAGACATTCAACTGCATCAAAAACTTTTACCTTGCACTTTCCTGTGACCTTGACCTCCCTTCTCTTTAATTTGTATTTTGCTTAGTTTTAAAGAAACAATTTAAGACATTTTTATGTAAGCATAATTTGGTGAAAATTTATCTCTATATCCATTTTTTCTTTAGATTTTAGTTTCAATTTTAAAGAAACTGTTCAAGATATTGTCATCAAACTTCATACACTCATACAAATTTTCATGTTGCATTACATTCAGAGGGGCACTCATGTCCTATTGACATATTTCTAGTTTTCAAATCATGACCTCCGAGGGTAGGGTTAGGCCACAATAAGGGATCAAAGTTTTATATAGGAATAAAAGGAAAAAAAATCTTTAAAGTTCTTCTTTTTAAGAACAACAAGATCATGATTATTATGGAAACATTTTCAAGAAGTGTAGATTCAAATTTGTACAAATCATGGCTCCATGGGTTAGGGAGTGGTCATTTTTTCCTGTCCCTATTTGCCATCCACATGGAAATGCAAATTTTGAAACCATTTTACACATCCACAGGACAAAACCAATCATCTTCCAAATGATCATGATTTAAGGCTAATGCATAAAATATAAGGGAAGTTCTGGGAAGCAGGGTGTTTAAACATGTTAAATATTTTTTTTGGAAAAAAATTGACCCCGTTTCGACCCCGGGGTGAAAAAAGAAATCCCGAGACCTTAATGCACATCTACGGGACATCACCAACCATCTCCCAAAAGATGATTAGGCTACTGTGTAAAATGTAAGAGAAGTTCAGGGAACCAGGGGCTTTTGCATTAAAAAAAAAACGTCATTTTTCAACCCTCATTTGACCCCCAGGGTGAAAATGAAAATTGCGGAACCTTCTTGCACACCTACAGGACACCACTAACCATCTCCCAAAAGATGATTAGGCTACTGAATAAAATGTAAGAGGAGTTCAGGGAACCAGGGGCTTTTGCACAAAAAACTCATTTTTCGACCCCCATTAGACCCCCAGGGTGAAAATGAAAATTGCGGAACCTTATTGCACATCTACAGGACACCACCAACCATTTCCCAAAAGATGATTAGGCTAATGTGTAAAATGTAAGAGGAGTTTGAGAAAGAAGATTGTGACAGACGGACGGACGAACATGACTAACAACAATTTACCCTAACTTTTTTTCGAAAATGCGGGTATATGGTTTCCTATTAACCCTCAAATGAATAATCAAATTGAAATTATCAGAAAAAACGATTTATCATTTTATTAATACGTGTTTCGGCCGATTGTCGAAAAGAGATTTCAATCTGTCTTTACTGCAATTGTCGCCCGATGTATTTTCATGGTATTTAAGTATAAGTTTGTGTGGTAACTGGACATCATACAGTTTTGAAGTTCTTTTTCATGAGCTTAAAGTGTTTCAAATCATCCTCTAAAAGAGATTTCAGTCTGTTTTTTACTACATTTATCAGTCTGCTAAATCCATTGACGAATATCGATCCCGATGTATTCTCATAGTATGTAAACATAATTTTGTGTGGTAACTGAATATCATACAGTTTCAAAGTACACTCTCATGAACTTATAAACATGTATAAATGCTTATTATCAAAATCCTGCCTTTCAAAATTCAAAAGTTATAGGTTAAATAAACCGCCCGGATTATTTTTTTTGCAAAGTAGGTCAAAGGTCAAGTGATTGTAATGCAGTCAAACTGTTTTATGACAAGAGTTCACGTGGTAAATAGCATAGACTTGCCTCGTAAATGTCAAACATGATTAGCTCTTGCAAATGAATGATTTCTATATTTAATACAAGTGACCAGCTAAACATTCAACATGCGGTTTACTAATTTGAGCAATTAGATTGTAGAGTCTATCAAAGATTGCAGCACTTTTCACAAAATACAGAGTGTTAAAATATTTTTAATTAAACTTAGATTTTTAAATTGGTTATGCCATTATAGGAATTTATAGATGAAATCAAAACTGCAATTATAAAATCCAGTGACAGTCGAATCACGTGAAAAGTCCTAATGAAAAACATTCCTGTTATCCTCAACATTTAGTTTTTAATCATATTACATTTGCCTGATATTAGTAAAGAACTAAAAGAATCGCCCATCCTTGAAAAGAATGGGTTTTTTTTCCGGTTGAAAACAATGAGTGGCATTACTTTTTTATTCACGAATTCTTCACCTGAATAATAAATTCAGATTTTTTCTTATGCTCTTTCATGTGAAATATAGAGTTCAAGCAGAATTAAAAGAAGACCGATTGTCATCAATATTCAAGACTTTTTTAATCTAAGAATAATTGAACAAACATGACGTTAATAAAATGTTACAGCAGGAAAGAGAAGTACGATATAAGTATAATATTTGAACAACTTGTTACAAAGAAATGGGGAATGAGAATAAAATAAAGAGGAATACAGATTAAACAGCAAACATTATGGTAAAAAGTTATTATAATCTGTAATACATGTACCTATAATTCTAATATCTTCAGATTTATGTAAATGTCTCCTAAACACTTTTGGGAACATGGTCAACATGACTTTATTTCATCATATGGGTTTACAATTTCCATTAAACCAACTTTTACAATATACATATTCTATATATGGGAGACTTATTTTACAAATTCGTGGATTACATTATTAGCAAATACATTAAATGTGAATACATGGACTCTTTCAGAGAATGTTTCTCTTATTTGAGGTCAGTGGGGGATGTTCCGTTTGCAATCAGTTCAACTTTGCGTCTTTTGAAGGAAAGCAATTCTCTTACGGAGTTGAGCATTTTCCTCTGGATTGCGAGAAGCTGAGAAAACTCGCTTTCTTCACATTTTTCTCCATGATATCCAGGTTCACAGAATCCAGAACAAGATCCGGTCACGCGATTGCACGGTTTGTTATTTCTACAATAACCACAGCGTTCTTTACATTCTGCACCATACCACCCATCATTGCAGGCTGAAAAATGAATGAAACGGAGGAAAGAATAATACAGTGAATTTCGGTTATAGTGAAGTTCTGGGGACCTGAAAATTTACTTCGCTATATCCTTATAACGAATACGTAGAATTATACATAGCGAATTTGCAATATAGATTTGTTCCTTCAAGTATGACTACCAACTGTATTTAGGGAAGTATAAAATACTTAATTTACCATGGAGTTGAAACTTTTTCGGACGAATAGCGTTCTAAATATATATACTTACAAAATCAATGACAGTTTAATATCTCATAATTAAGTTTTTTTTCAAAATTCGCTATAAAAGATGTAAATTCGTTATTTTTAACTTCTAGGGGACACAGATTCAGTTCGCTATACCCGTACATTTGCTATGACAGAGTTCGTTATATCCGTAACATTTTACAGGGAATTGTTGAGAATTTCTTCGGGGATTACAAAAAAAATTCGCTATATCAGTAAATTCGCTATATCCATGTTCGTATTAAAAAAGTTTTACAATAATAAGTGTTTCAGTGCCAAGGTTTTTCATTGCTAGCCTATCGTTCTAAAGAAAATTATGATTAAATCTACAATATTCTTAAATATGTGACTTATTTCGACATCAAAACATGATATATGCCATTATCATAGCTTTTAAGAAAAAGTATTGAAATTATCTTAATTTATCTTATTTTATCTTATTTAAATTATCTTTTAAAGAAAAACAGGTAGCCCTCTATCTATTACATTAAAATTCAAGGGAACAGTTGAGAATATCATTTACAATGGTTCTGATTTCTGTTAGATTAAATCATTTCCTTAGAGTGGAAGTCAAGTAAAACAATATCTCCTGTTTGATTTTTTTAAAGATTCAATCATATAACACATTTTTTATAGTTCCTGATATAGTTTTGTTTTGGTTTCTTTTTCGTTTGTTAATTTTTTCTTTGGGGAGTTTGTACATTTTGTTGATAATTAAGCATAGTTTAAAGTTGCTGTGACGGCATTAAAAAATAATTTAATCCAACTGAATATCAATGTGAGCACGGACTACTGATTTCACTGCAGAATGATCCACTTCCTTCAATCCACTATTCTTAAGTTCTATTCTTTATATACAAACATAACTTAGTGTTATCTGATAAAAAGAAAATGATCTGATAAAAAAAATCAAACCTCGATCACATTTCCTGTCTCCTATGTCTGTCCATCCAGGTGCACAATTTCCATCACGACAGGCGCCATTTATTTCATCACATGTTGCATTAGTTGCACAATGTCCACAGGTCGAGCTACAGTCTTCGCCATATCTCCCGCTTTCGCATTCTGTGTTCGTTTAAAATAGCATAAATATTAAATAAAATCACAATCGAATAAACACACCCGAAATTTCATATATTCAATAATTGTTTCTGTTTTTCATTTCTATTTTTACTTTTATTTCTATAATTATATATTATTAATTTTTTTCATTTGTATATTGTCATTATTTTTATTTGCGGCTCTTGTTTTTATGATACAAATTACGTCAATAGAATACGACATGAATAAAACTTCTTTTTTTTTTTACATGAACACAACCGTATATGAAATACTCTTTTTAGCTACGATATCGTGCTAATAAGTTTTGTACAAATACAAATAAGTCTGGCAATATTACTGTGAATTCCATCATTTTCGTTGGGGTTTATTTTCGTTGTCTTCATGGTAAGGAGAGACCCATGAAATCATTTCCCCATGCAAAATGTGAATCCATGCATAAAACTTTTCAACTCTCCTTAATTCAGAAAAATTAATCCCCCATTGACCAACATGTTTTCATCAAACCACAAAATTCTAACCCCAAGAGAATAAGTGATTTTAAAGTAAACAAATACAGATGTTTGAAACGTCTTCCAGTATTTCTTTCAGGTTAAGGGTGAGGATACCAATAGTATTGAGGTTATACTTTTGAACGATGTGTTAAAACACTATTGATTTAAACACTACTACGAACAATATTCAACTGATTTAAACCAACTTCAAAACAATTGACAACGAAAGACAGAAACTGTTGGTCAAAATATGCCAAAGCGTAGAATAGATTTGTGGAAGGCACCCCAGCGGAGTGGTATTCAATTCTAAAGTGTTCTCTGAAAACTTCATAATATAGCACGCTTGATTTAGTGTATTCTTTGTGAATAAGGGGGAACATCTAATAATTACAACGAAAAATGTCAATCATGAATAAAGAAACTACATTATTTAGCAATATATATCATGTCATGTATTTGCATCTTTTTAAGACACATTTCCTTTTTTCAAGAATGTGCATTTCAAGTGTTCAAAACCATGCTGCACAGAGGTTCAAAAGTTTTTGAGTTGTACGTACAATCAACTTAAGATAGGAAAAACAATGACATCATAGGAGCAGTGAAAATTAAATACCCGTAAAAATTCATATATAAAAAAGTTGTGGATATAATCTTTGAGTCAGTAAGTTTCTTACTTGTTAAACACTTTTGTCCTTGATATCCGGGCTCACATAATCCAGGACAGGATCCATTGATGTGATTACAAGGTACATTACCTTCACAATGTCCACATACCTCTTTGCAATCCTTCCCATATGTGCCTGGATCACATGCTGCAAAGCAGACATTTGAACATTTGAAACATTTTTCATATTTTAAATGCCTTTTCACACAATTTCTCTAAAAATGAACATAATATTAGAAAAAAAAAATAGAATGAAACTTATTAATATACTTAGTGCTCAATGCTAATTTCCCCATAATTAAAGTCTAACATTAAAATTGTGTTAAGCTGAAAACTTAATGCAATTTTACGAATTTCATTTAATGGAATCTGAAGAAAATCTTAACTGGGAAATTTTAAAAATTATATTTCTTTATTTTTAAAGGGTTTATCAACAAATACACAACAGATAACAAATTCATAAAAATTATTTTATTCAACCAATTTAATACAAAAATATATGAACTCCTGTGTATTTAAAGTAAAAGTTTTTGGTCTCTGGTCAGCCTGTCAAAACATCTGTTGAAGTTGACATGTATCGTTGACTTCTCTACAATATATAAATGGAAAACAGAGTATGTAGGTATTACATTTAGTTTAAAAATACAAATGAATTTATTCACGAGCCTAGACATAAATGCTTTAAATAATGTTATAATGGCTCCATAACTTTCTTCCGACTAACACAAACTGACATTCCATCAGCTAAGCATAACAGTTAAAGGCAGGGCTCAATCCCTTGAATCAGAGGCAGCTTCAGCTATGGACTTCCTATGTTTAAGAAAAAGAAAAAGTATATATATATATTTCATCAGAGTTGAATAAATCTTAATGTGCTGTAACGTCTAGATGAAATGCATATTTTATATATATTCGCAATACAGAGACGTAAGTCATTACATAGTTACATTGTACTCCATTTTTCCCCTACAACCACTTTCACTGTAGAACAGAGTACTTAATCTGTGGCCTTGAGTTAATTGTAATCAGGAAGATCTTGTCAACATGTTGATAGGTTCAGATTCAGTTATGTATGTATTCTGTGATATGGTGTGTCTAAAAATGAAAAAAAAAACTCTTAGGGCCTTATCAATGATAATTGCAGAACATGCAGCTGTGCAATGCAAAAAAATGTAAAAATAAAACTTAGAAATAATTTTTTAGAAATCGACACATTAATTAACCCCTTGAAAAATCAATTATATGACACACTTTTAATTAGGCCATTTAGGGGCTACTGTATGCTTTGCTTCCTACATTTGATAAACATTTAATTTAACATTAAATCGCCAAAGCTCCCTGTTGTTGTTTTATTTTTTCCTGAAGAAGAGACGGATATTACGTCTCAAGAGTTAAACAGCTATTCTCGTTGGTTCTCTACACAATGATCGTGAAATGTACCATAATTGTCTTACATCATGTGTTTTCAAACTTTTTGGGGAGTCTTTCTGGATAAAGAAATGCTATTGACAATGACTTACCGGTACCATAAGAAGCTATAGAAAATGAATCAGTGTATCAGAATAAAAGGAAATCTCACCTTCAATCCAAGATAAATTTCTCTGTAACATTCGTTTCCTTATATCCGCTGATATAAGTTTGTTTTTCAACCATATGCATTACCTTATGAATAAAGAATGAAACTTCATATTATTTTTCAAATTGAACTATTAGTATTTTATACATGCACACATACCTCCATATTGTCAATACTCCACAGAGTATATGCCCGTGAAAATGCTGTAGAACTTTCTAACTTGTCAGTCTGCAATGCAATATTTCTATCCAAAAAAAAGAATATTACTTTGGGAGAAGATCATGCAGAATATTTTCGAATGAGGACAAAATTTTATACTCCGAAGTACATTAATTGTTTCAAGCATCCACATTATAAAGCCAGCCAATGAAAATAACAAAATATGAATTTAGGCAATAGGGAAGTCCAGAACGTAAGTGTCTGTTTTCTTTGATAAGTGTAGAACACTTTAAATATAAAAGGTGTTTCCGTAAAAGATAGATTAGCCTAAACTTCATTGGTGTTTTAAGTGTCTCTTAGTTGAAACTTTATGAGCGGAAATGTTTTTAGATCACAAGATGTAGAACAAATGTAGTACTATGATCTGACTTTTAAGTAGTGTGGTATTCTAGTATTTCACGCAAAAACAAATATCAGTTTGTAAAAATTAATTTCCACAGGATATTCCCTACGATAAATCAGAGACCAGGTTTTTGGACATCAAAGACAGCTGCTTTCTAAATAAAAATGGAACTTGTAAATTTATACACATTGTCACTCGTCACCTGCAAAAAAAGGCTTGAATTTCAAATTGACAATATCTGTGTAGTTTTTGGGAGCAGGTCCTCCAGTTGTCACTAATTGTGTGTTCCGTAATTAGCAGACGTGTTTTTTGTATTCCTATGAAGCAGAATTTATTCAAAACCTTTCGTCGTTGGCTTCAATTCAATATTAAGATAACTCGACCACGTTTTATCAATTAACAATTTTAATTTTCATTCCCACTTTATATATCCCACATATATCCCTCTGAACTCTAACGAAAAGATACCACAGACTCTGACACACCTGTTACATATTTGGATATCTTACTAGAGAAAGGCATTGGTAGCAAGCTGGCAAGTAGACTTTAAGATAAACATGAATAACCTCAATTCCCCTTATTTATAGAGTAAAACACCATTGCAACTCACATATGGAGTTTATGTCTCCCAGTTGATTCGATATGTAGGACATGTTCTACGTGCGAGCGATTTCCAAAGCGAGGCAAGCTATTGACAAATAGTTGATGATACAGAGATATCAACATTTCACAAAATCTATGGTCGATACAATGACCTTGGAAGCAAATACAATATATCGTTAAGTCGAATGATATTGACTGACTTTTTAAAAAAAATGTAAGGTCATTATTTTCATCCCGAATTGTCTACGGATTTTTTCGCTTACCTAATCATGACGAGCACCATGCGAATGCGACTGGACTACAGTGGATGCTTACTTCATGGCACCTGGCCCCACCGCCATAAAACTTTGAGAATTCTCAAAAAAATTCTCAACTCAAGTCTTGAGAATTACTCAGCTAAGAATATTCTTAAATTCACTGCCATAAAACGATTTGAGAATATTCTCAGCTGAGTAATTCTCAAGACTTGAGTTGAGAATTTTCTCAAGATTTTTTTCTCGCGAGACTGTTTTCGCGGAATTTTTTCGCTGATTGAAGCGGCCCGGAGGGGCTCTTTTTTGTCAAAAGGTAAAAAACCACATTGGTTACACGTAAATAAAAGATCACAACATTATTTTTGTCGTCTGCATTATTTATTGAACATCATGGATTCATAGGTTGTCACTGAGAGAAAAGGGGCGCAAAACTGGGGGACGGAGGAGGAAGTTGCACTTATTGAGGAAGTAAAATCTCGAGCATCAGTTTTATTTGAGTCGTTTAAGGGTAGTGGGAAGAAAGGAAAGGGGAAAGAAATCAAAGAAAAAGAATGGCAATCAATTGTGGACAAACTGAACTCGTACGTAGTTTAAGCAAATTTTCACACATTCTCAATAGCCTCATTTACCATGATTCTGAAAGTATTTAGGAAAATATTAATTGTGAATCAGATGATCCTTTTTATCGATATAATACAAATTGCTCGTCATTTACGAAGGTTTAGACGGTTTGCTATCAAATTTCTTATTTCATATTATAGCCCCTGAGTGTGATGAGGGAGAAAGCACGTATATCTACCATATATTTCTTTCTTTTTTGAAAAAAAAAAAAAAATCGCATCAACTGCAATTCAGGTGATACTGGAAAAGATCTAAATATATGAAAGTCGCTTTTGTTTTTATTAGGTATGTTTTTGATCGGTAGGCTAAACACTATGCTATGTTTTAACATATGTGCTATTGGTTTTGAAATACATGTAAATGCGACAATTTGTAAATTTAAAGTAGGCTTACATTAAATTGGCATGCAAGATAACCAAACTTGTTGCCTTATGTATACACTCAAGGGAACTGCAACATTTCTATAAATAGATCCACGCGCATACAAGTGAAAAATGTTGGTGGATCTAATTCTTGTTCAGGTGTCACATATATTGTAGACGTACAATTTCCCATAATTTTCAGACAATATGACAAAAAGAAGCGTGGATTGGAAGAAATAAAGAAAAAATATTACAATATCAAGTCAAGAAGTAAGTTTAAGTAAAGGTGAAAAGAAGTAAAATTTTACTGTCACAAAATTTTGATTTGCTTAATAAAATTTTTATATCTATCAAATAAATTAATACTCAACTCATACTGATATATTTAACTGTTTAGAGAGAGGAACTAGTATATTATTAGAATTTGTTTCCAAGCCTTCTAATTTGTTCAGTAAAATATGTCCAGAACTACAAAACAAAACTGCCATCTCTTTATCTCTGGATATAAATTCATTTTGAATCTCTAATGTCTTGTGTTATTATTTTTTTTTAATTAAATAAAATTAGATTGTCATTATGTATAATAATGAACCATGTAAAATGTGTTTATACAGGCAAAGAGAAGTTGGATAGTGCGAAAGGCCCAAGACTGGAGGAGGCATTCCCCAAGCCCCACTTACTGCAGGAGAAGAAACATTCTTGAAGTTATCTGAGAGTGAACCAAATGTTCGTGGTGTGGAGGGAGAAATTGATACAGATGGTAAAAACATTTAAAATAGAAAGTATTAAATTTTTTGACTCTCTTTCTCCCTCTCTATGATTTTGAACTTTGATGTGATTTTGTTTTATGACATATTTTATTACAGCCCCTATACATTCCAAGTCTCAGAAGTGAATGAGAGCTAGCTGCAGTGTGCACAACAAAGTATTTTACAAGTGTAGCACAGAACTGTACTTATGTGATGTAAAAATTAGTTCTTCCTTATAATTAAACAGAGTTTTAATACATGTATATTAACTGTAATTCCAACTTTTCACACAAGTATTCTAATGTTATTAACTTTCTTAGTGTATTGATTTTATTTGTCTTATTTAATTTACTGATTTGTTTGCATCATCTCAGTCTTTGCCAATGAATGAAAAACTGATGAATAGAATTTATTGCAGGTTCCAAATGTCAAGAACAGACATCAAATGTAAAAGATACATTAAGTTCAGTTGATTATGGTACATAATTATATATGTACATTTAATTTCTATCCAATGTCATTTTTGAAAATGATAATAACATACTTTTGAATACAAATATCAGAGTGACGTCATTTTAAATGATATGTTATCATTTCTCATCTCTTTGTTCCTAGGATGGTTCAAAATGTAAAGAGAAAAGAGAAGACAGGTTGGTTCAGCCAATTATACATTTAATGGTGCATGCTAATGTAGACTAATGAAATCCCTTGACATACTACTGTTTTTCTTTAAAAGTTACAATTTTAGAAAAAGTAAACATTGTGGATATCTGCATAAATAACAAAGTCATACAAATCAGGAAATGACTCCCTCATATTTTCAGCAATGTAAAAGGGAAAAATTACTTATGTTTGTATAATTGTTTATCTGTTTTACCTACACAAACCACAAAGTACAACTTCTCAAAAATTTAAAAATACATGGGTGTTAAATTTTAAATGAAAAAAAAATTGAACAAATTCAAAAGGAAAAAAAAAGCAGTTAAATTAAATTACAGGTGAAGCCAAAAGGAGAAAATTGGAGGAGCTGGAAGAGAGAAATTTAATATTGGACAAACAACGGCTTGAGGAGGATGTACTCAAGATAAAAGAAGAGAGGAGTTCTTGCTCTTAAGAAGGAAGTCCTACTATTAAAAAAACAAAAACTGTTATGTGAAATTCAGTCATCTTATCCAGATTTTATTACAGTACTATCATCTGAATTATAATCATTTTTGGTTTTGCTATTCATTATTATAATACTTGTATGAGAGAGAGAGAGAGAGAGAGAGTCAATATGCATAGACTAATATACAGTTGTAGTTACATTTCATAAAACATAACTTGCACTGTCTCTTAGTAAAAGTGTTTATATTTCACAAATTTTAGAAAATCAAAATGAATTGATACATAAATAAATAAAAATTAAAAAAAAGAAATAAATCAAAAAAAGAAATAGAGAAACTAGAACTACATGTTCATCCTCACTGAAAATTTAATCAAATTTAAAAAAATCCATTGGTGATGGCTGTTCTCTTCAAGACACCATCTCTCCTGTCCTGATAACCAGGGTCTTGAATGGCCTGTTGCAAGCAGTGTCGCACATCAATGTCTGTACAGACCTCTTGAATAAAAATATCACCTCTTTCAATGCCAATATTGTGAAGGGTCACACAGGCTACTATGTATGTGATGGATTGCTCTGATGATGTTCTGAGACCAAAATGGAGGGCCTGAAATTTTCGCTTGAGGATTCCAAATGTCTGCTCAATAAGTATCCTCGTCCTACATAAGCTGGCATTAAACCGTTCCTCTGGCACTGTTCTTGGAGCAAGGTAGGGGTCATCAAATACCTGGTGAGGGGATAACCCGAGTCACCAAGTAAAATCCCATCACACATACCTGTTTAAAAATATTTCCTTCTTCTATATAAAGTACATAAATTATATGGAATGAGATTATTTACAGTGTAGTGGGTGATGGTAAAGTGTTGAATTTTCTTTCAAATGTTATATTTACCCGTTTCAAATTTTTGACAGAGGCTGGATGTCCTCCAAATCCTCGAGTCATGGCAGGAGCCTGGCCAACCAGCATATAGTGATGTGATCCTAATATTTGGATCACAAACCATCTATAAATTAAAAAGATTGGGTTCAGTGACAAATCA